AATTGATGTATGTATGGTGATAAGAGTTGTACAAGCCCCTAATAAAACGATTTAAAAAAAGAAATAAAAACATTGAACAAATCTGCTTCACAAGACCGCCTTAAAATTCTGAAAAATGAAGCTGTCACCGAGTGCTGGGGTATGCTAGACCCATGCTGTGGTATCGTGAATCACCATTTATGAATGAGCAAGCTGTACAACAAATAAAACTGGAGAGGAACTGATGCATCTTAATTTAGTGCTGAAGAATACTTAAAGACTGCCAGCGAACAGGCAAATCTATCTTGGAAGAAGTACAGCTCGAATGTTCCTTATGAGTGCGAATGGCGAGACTTTGTCTTTTATGTACTTTGGGCATGTTATTAGGAGAGAACAGTCCCTACAAACGCGCACCATGCTTGGTAGAGGCATAACACAGAAGAAAACTCTCAAGGAGACGGATTGACACAGTGGCTGCAACAATGGAAAGATTCTGAAGATGGTCCAGCACGGAGCCAGTCTGTTGTACATAGGGTTTCCAAGTCAGATCCAGTTTAGCCACCACTCTGGGGGTGAGGCAGGCGAAGGAGGTGAGAGCCAGTTGTCCCACATCTATGAGGTCATAGCTGAGGTCACAGAAGTGCTGAAAAAGACAAAGTTGACATGAACAGGGGACTGGTGTAAGCTGGGACTCTAAGGGGAGAATGTCTAAGGCAGAGGGGTGGACTGCAATGTGATTTGGGAAGGCCAGTTGGGTAAGTTGTCGAGTTTAATTGGTCTGGTTTTGACTTGAGTTTTGAGATGAGGAAGGATGAGAGAAGGAAAACTGGGGAGGGCATTTCTTAAAGAAGGATTTGTCTCTTGTCTGGGTGTTACTACTTTAGCCTCTCTGCCTCGTGTCTCTTTGATAGTATTAACTATAGAGCTTTTCTCCTCCCCTGCAAAGCACTTGAGGCTGTAGCTGACTGACTTCCTAGCCCAAAGCTTTAAATTCAGTTGACCTTGACGATTCTGAATGAGAGGTGGGGTATTTGTCATTCTTTAACCTTTCTATAATATAGCACTTCTTATTCTTGCCTTAGAACCTACAATGCACCACGCCAGGAAGTCCCTGCCAACTCCCTACCCTAAAACTCAGCCAGCTATTAATTTTTACTGAGATGTCTATTTTAGTTCCGTAGCTTCTCAATTGAAATTTTACTGTTACTGAAAACAGAGGATAGGAAGAATTTACCTGGGGAAAATTTCCCCTTCCCCTCATCCTCATCTTACTTTATATGTGCGAGGGTGTGTGTGTGTGTGGTGTGTGTGTCCCATTCAAAACATATGCTTCATAAACCACTGAGACATTTGTCCTGGTGGCTTCCTAGTGGCTAAGCACCTTTCTTCTCACCATACTCCTGCACACTCTCCATACTCATTTATCTATCTCCACAGTCCCTGGTTTCTGTCCAAGGAAGAATGGAACAGCATGCATACCATGTTCAAAAACAAAGGGCAGAAAGGAACTCCAAGAAACAGAGAAGGTAAATGAGGACTCTCAAGGGTTTTTAGTGCCAATGTGCTTTACAAGAGAAGTAGGGTCACCTATCTTCCACCTCTTTCTTTGGTCCAGTTTCTTAGTTAAGGAAGATTGGAATTTTCATTTGTTCTCCCTCTTCCCCATCTCCTCAATGGAAGGGACAAGGGCATCTTTGGGGTATGCTAATTGAGAAAGGTTGGTAACAATCTGTAATTCCTCTAGAGGTTAGTGGGTGAAGTTGGGTATGTAAGTAGAGTATCTATGCAACCTAGAGATATTTATTTGTTCCAGAATTGGCTTTCTCTAAAGTTTTCAGCGCTTCCAGTGTAAATGCAAGCAACTCAAGCCCATTCTTCCCTTGCGTTAGGGTAGTGAAAACCAGACTCAGAGCCATCATGTTGATTCCAACTCATAGGGCAGGGTAGAACTGCCCTTGTGCGTTTCCAAGACTGTAACTTTGTAGAGGTAGAAAGCCTCCTCTTTCTCCCACAGAGGAGCTGGTGGATTTGAACTGCTAACCAATGAGCAACCCACTACACCATCAGGGATCCTGGGGATAGTGAAGAGCCTGGGGATAGTGAAGAGGACCAAAATCTGCCACTTGTGGCTGAATATGAGTCCCGGGTAATGCTGGTCATAAAGTCAGTTGGGAAAAGGAGGGTTTTTTGTAAGCTTGTGGTTCAGAGAGCTTCAGAAAGGAATTGAGGCTTGGTTTGAGCCTTTGAAGACAACGGCTGGATATGTCTTGAGGCAGAAATCTGTAGAAATTCAGAGAAACTTGACTATGGTGGATGGTCTAATATGATACCTAGTCAATTGACCTCCTCCTCATCCATCCTGAAGTAGCTCTAGGTTTAAATATTTCTTACTTGTTTCATGGCAGAAATTTTTCTCTCCAGCTTATTTTATAATTGCTGGTGGTCTTTCTTCCTTTTCTTGTCTTATTTTTTCTGTTTTGCTTTTGTTTCTTGTTTCTGTTGTTTCCCATTTTATGAAGCACAGAAGGAGCAGATGCTTAGAGAACAGTAACCTTGCTTACCAAGGGCAGCAGAGGGTGGGAGTGGAGGGGAATTGAGTAAATAATGAATATAGGACAGTGCACTAGAACCGAGTGTGATGATGAACACACAACAATTTTAAAATAGATTTAACCATGGAATTCAAGAGTTAAAGGGATCTTCTAGATTTCTAGTCTACCTGTCTTATTAAGGTGCTCAGAATAGTTAACTGGGATTCAGTTCAAAGAGCTAATGAGGAATCTAGAAGCCTGAACCTTAGTGGAAGATGAGAACCTACACAATTGAAGAGTACTAATTCTGTTCCACACAGTTGCAGGACCATGAGGAGATAATAGTGAGTGGATATTGGAGAGCTATCTGAGGAAACACATAATGTACACGAAGCCCTGACTTCTCTCTGATGACCAGATACTCTGGCAGCAGATCTGTGCAGGATGCTGTAAAAATAGTCCTGATAGCAATGAACTTTACAGTTAAAAAACATTTCATTCAATTCTCCCCCAATTCTGTGAAGATCATTCTTACTGTTTTTCAGATGAAGAAACAGAATCATACAGGCAAAGAGATTTATAAAAGTCCTGAAAGTAAAGCATGATAAAGCTGTAACTCAAGCAAAACTCTTATGTCTCAAATTCGTCCTGTTTATTCCTGTGAGTTACCATTGAGTCAATTGTTCTCATTGCATTGTCATGGAAACCCATTGAAGTTCAGCTGGTCCCAACTCAGAGCAACCCTATAGGACAGAATACCCCAGGTTTCCAAGGCTGTAATAAAGACCAAGGATTGCAATCTTCAGTATGGATTACAACTTAATGTAAAGAGAACCAACATCAAGTCTACCTAGATAAGATAGGCTGGAGGAGAAAACAACAGGATTGATGGTTCCATGGGAGAGAGGGAAGTGGGGGAAAATAAGTGGTGTTAACAAACCTAGGGACAAGGGAAAAATAGGTGATCCAAAATCAG